CAGCGCTCACTTTTTTAGTATGTAGTAGTGGTCCAGGTGGTAACGTGTTGTTTGCATCCGTCATTTCGACATCAACCGCTCCCAAAAGTGAAGCATTATGAAGTTGGAAGCTCGTTTGCAGGTTTTCGTGGCGCTAAACCGTACAGAGCGTGTAAATTTAAGGACAGCAAGAAACGTGTAGGTGAAAACTGGAATTCTGCATAAAAATAACATCAACAAGTGAATACGTAACGTACTAAGGAAATAATTTGAGATTCCAGCTGCCGTATCCGCTCGTCTCTTCTACTCAGCTCCGTGGCGTGTTCTTTTTCCTTTGCAATAATCTAAAGCACCAACATATGTTTTCTTTCTTAGCAGAAATACAATTAACCTGATCCCGAGTAGCTGCAGCTGCTCGCTCCTTCTCTCGCTCTAAGTTTTCTACACGATTTTTGAGCATCAGCACTTGGCCATTGTGATGATAATCGTTTCGCTCCTGTACCAATTCATATTAAAAAAGAAAGAGATACCGAGGGTAATTATAATATAAAAAATAATCTCTCATCAAATTTGCAGCAGTCATATAACACGAGAAGAAAGGAAACTAGAATAATAAATGGAAACTTCGTCTTACTTGTGCGTTGAAGCCCCGAGGTGTAACGGCATTAACCATTCTCGCCGCAGGCTTCCTTATTCTTATAGCATCGTTGATCGGAGGACGGAGGGGAGATGTGAACACCGAAGAAGAACTTGGTCTTGAGGTATCTTCCACTGATCGAGCGTTTTCTACGAACTGGCTAGCATCTCTTCGTTGCATGATTGCCTCTAAATTGACGCTTTACTACCTCAAAACTTCCAAGTTGATGAATCGACAAAAAAAAACTTACGAGTAATCTGACTCGGTTCCGCAAGAACTGGATCGTTGAACGAATCATCTGAATCGGGATCATCATTACTGTCACCAAATAGAGCTGGGCGTGGTCGCTTCTTTGGAGGAGGTGAACCAGTAAATCCAAAGGACATGGCCTGAAGAACAACATGATTC